GAGAGGGAGGGGAAAAAATGAGGACCTGATGCCAGGGGCTTAAGTGGAGAGCAAATGTTTTGAGAATGATGAGGGAAATGAATGTATAAATGTGCTTTACACAATTGATGTGTGTATTGATTATGATAAGAGTCGTATGAGGCCCTAATAAAACGATTTAAAAAACCCTGGATTATACGAGGGGATACCCCATAAAAAATGGAATTTTTTTCAAAGCTTAAAAAAAAAGAGTTTAAATTCTGAGTACCAAGTTTACAGAAGGCTATAGACTGTGAATCCCCTAGGCAGCCCAGGTAGGCACAGTTTAGCTCTCAGGACTTGCCTGAGTGTGTCCTTAATGAAAATTGGGGTACCAGGGCTGTACGGTCATGAGTCATGCCCTCAACCAACATGGTTGAAGAACCCCAGTACCAATCCTGTAAACTGTTCTAAGCTGCAGTAGTATACATCAAGGGTCCCTTTCCAGCGTCCATAATCCCACCTGTGACAGTGATGAATTGATTTGCCTCCAATCATGCTTTGGTGACAAATTTCCTTTGTTTTATATGTTGTACAATTAGCAACTGACTATAAATCCTATAAAAACAAAATATTGATAAATCTAAGAACTACCAAAGTAGACAACTTGTGTTGTTCTCTACCCACTGTACATGGACTATGTAATTACCTTCTCTGGGAATTGACTTCCTGACCTACAGAGGGGGTACCTAGTAGCCTAGTTTGTGTTAAAGGACACTCCCTGGCCATGATTGATTGGACCAACAGGGAACATTGTGTCCAAGTTGGGGCAATCTTTTGGCATTACGTTACCAAAAACTGGGTACTGAGAATCAGAATTAGCAATCAGTTACCAGATAGCCATGTTATTTCAGTCCCCCAAGGGGATGAATGGAGGGTATGAGATATGCTAAGAGAAGCTTAGATCTTGAATATTTGGGTTGAAAGGGATAATTTTCTAGAAAAATACAAATGAACTAAACAGATCAATAGAAGTAAATAACCTGAGACTATGTACTTAATCTTTCAAAAAGTCCTATGCCTTTATTTTGAAAAGTAAACAATTCAAGACTAATTTATAAAAATAGCATTTCAATGACACAAATATAGGTACTTTGGAATAATGATGCAAATACTCTAAATAAATATCAGCACATAAAAAGCAGTGGTATGTTAAGTGAACAATTTGCCATTAACAAGTAGGTTTCTTTCTAGGAGTAGGATGATCAAATATTCTGTAGTCTATTAATACGTTTTACCAAGTGAAAATGAAGATCGGCCCTGAAGACAAAATGTGTGCATAATCAAATGTGGTAAAGAAAGCTGATGGTCCCCTGCTATTAAAAAGCATAACATCTGGGGTCTTAAAGGCTCGTCATTAAACAAGCGGCCATCTACCTGAGAAGCAACAAAGCCCACATGGAAGAAGCCTGTGTGATCATGAGGTGATGGGAAGAGGTGTCAGAAGTTCAAAAACAAACAACCAAATCAATGCAAAGGGGTTGTGGATGTAGTGGAGACCCAAAACCCACCTGTAAGATAATTGGACAGTCCTCTCAGAAGGGCCATAGGAAACTGATGATAAATCCAGGTGAGGTGTGGCACTGATGAACCACATACCTACTGTATCCTCTAGTTCTTTAATATTTCCTCCCTTATTATTATGGTTTCTATTTGTTTTACCTAATCAATCATGTTAGCTTTGTGTGTTCGTTTGTATATTTAAGATCGTTTTGGACAGGAAAGTCAAGATAGGTAAGCCATCAGAGCAGTCACAGGAGTGGTGGTTCCCTAAGGG